GATTTTTTATTCACGAGAAATGAACCGAAGAAATGTTAGTTAGAGAGCACTGTTAACACAGTTAACTTATTGTTCATATTAACAAAGTTTTACATTATAAATTCAGTGTGGGTTGTTGTGTGAATTTGTGGTTTTAAAATCGACTCTAATTTTTTTTTGGTTTTTGTCCTCGGGTTTATGTTTTAGCTAATACGAAAAAATTAAATGTTTACTTGTGATTTTCGATCATTTAGCTAACTTCCAAAAATAAGTGATTCGTGTAAATAATAATTCGAAATCATACATAACAGTATTTAATATCATTAATTAGTGACTCGCACCAAGGTCTGTAGAGACGTGGTTGGTTAGTGACTCGCACCAAGGTCTGTAAAGACGTGGTTGGTTAGTGACTCGCACCAAGGTCTGTAGAGACGTGGTTGGTTAGTGACTCGCACCAAGGTCTGTAAAGACGTGGTTGGTTAGTGACTCGCACCAAGGTCTGTAGAGACGTGGTTGGTTAGTGACTCGCACCAAGGTCTGTAGAGACGTGGTTGGTTAGTGACTCGCACCAAGGTCTGTAGAGACGTGGTTGGTTAGTGACTCGCACCAAGGTCTGTAAAGACGTGGTTGGTTAGTGACTCGCACCAAGGTCTGTAGAGACGTGGTTGGTGTTTACTGTGATGGAAACGCGGCTAAACATGTAATAAAACAAGAGTTTCAGAAAACGTTTTGATAAGATTTCCTCATTAAAGGAATTTTTCAGTAGTAAAGGCACATGGTACAGACGGATGTGTGCTAAGACAGCTCAGGTACTGGTTACCTGGGGACAAGGATTAATTCTCAAGGTAAATAAATCAGAACGGCAAGACGTGGCAAGTGACGTCCCACAAGGGTCAGTCCTGGCACCGCTTCTGTTCTCCTCCTTCATAGATAAAATTTATTACTGGTTATCCTTCGCGATATCACACTTCGTCGTTGACACACCACTATTATTCACAGTTACACCGACGTTTTGACCCTGACAGATGCGAAGTCGACTTAGATAACTTAGTAAATTAGTCTTATAAATGGGAAATTTGATACACTGTTAATAATACAAACTATATTTCTTATAAGCATTCATTATAAATATTACCCATGCAGCTATGAGCCAAAAGCTTATCGAAGTAAAATAATCCAATATTTTAAATAGCTTTTCTTTATATCTAAGCGGTAATATTTTTTAAAGCAAGTAAACAGAGTAACTTACGGAGGCAATTAAATATAAAATTACAAGATAATTTAGAATTTTAGTAAATTATTTGAGTTTGTACTCGAAAAATTGCCTTCAGTCTATAGAATCGTTTGTTGGGAATGAAGGAGAAGAAATATTAACATACAGTTGTTTTCTGTATTTGAGGACGGATGTCAACAAACTGAAGGTCGACAAACACCGAGGCGCTAAACGCCGCTCCACGAATGCGATGATCATTGTAATGAATCCCGTATTACACTTCACAAGTAAACAACCACGCTACAACAACCACGCTACAACAACCACGCTACAAGCCTGTGTATGCTTAGCTGTTTCAGGTCCACTGTTTAACATCTGAAACCGTTCAGTGTTCTGTACCCTGTGATCCACTAATACAACAGAGTGCAGTGTTCCATACCTGTGATCCACTCCTGCAACACTATGCAGTGTTCTATATCTGTGATCCACTTTTACAACACTGAAGTGTTCAGTATCCTGTGATCCATTTTTACAACACTTTGCAGTGTTCTGTACTTGTGATCCACTCCTACAACACTGTGCAGTGTTCTATACAGTGTGATCCATTCCTACAACACTGTGCAATGCTTTAAACCTTGTGAGCCACTCCTACAACACCTTGCAGTGTTCTGCACTGTTTGATCCAATCCAACATCTTGCAGTGTTCTGTACCGTGTGATTCAATTCAACAACATCGTGCAGTGTTCTGTACCGTGTGATTCACACATACAGCATTGTGCAGTGTTCTGTACTGGATGATCAATGATACATTAAATATTCATGTTCAGTGTTTAAATGTGCTCATTAAATTAATGTTAGGTAGGAGTGAGTAGAGGCAAGTGGTTCTTATGAGTTGACGTGTTGTTGGAGTGTGAACAAGTTATAATTTATGAAGGAATTTAGGGCAAACCAGTTAGCCAGACTTGAGTCCTGGAGGTGGGAATACTGTGCCTGCACTCTGAAGGAGGGGCGGAGATGTTGCAGTTGGAAGAGTCATTGGAACGATGATGTCAGCACGCTTCTGGCAAGACCGTGATTAAGTGAATGTTGGTGAAAGTGTTTCTTCTGTTTTTGGTGCCATCCTACGACAGAAACAAACGGTCAGTGTGTTAAAAAAATAACTTTCAAAATTTTTTTGAGATCTGCAGAATAAAGCACAGTAAAACAAATGTGCATTATGTTGATTGTCTTATTACTATGAATAATAATTTATCAGAATGAAGAAGAATTAAACTCGATAAAAAATCATCCCCAAACATGTTTACATTACTCGTGTATTGATGACAGAGAGTAACACCTATTATTTTCTCACACTGATGAGACGTGTGGCATTAATAATAAACCTGAGAAACGTAAATTTAAACCCTATCATAGGTATTAAGTGACCTTGAAGTGAGAGTGGACTGCGGCCTTTGTGACTCGAACTCAGAGATCGTCAAGTGTTGGACAGCCCTGTACTAGATCACCTCTACCAGCTACAAAATAATATTACCTCTAATGTACCATTCAGAATAATTACGAGAAACAAACATTAAGATTATTGTCTTATACGTTTTTACGATTTAGCTAGACTACTGAGGAATCAAAAGATGCTCTTAATTCAGCGCTTGTGATATTCTGTACCTTGATGTTGTCAGATATAAATGGTTGATATTGTTGCTGTTATGATGACTGTGCGAATTAAGTAGGTATTAACATACAGGTAAAGTGACCCCGAAACCATGTTGAAGTATTTTGAGTTTCATTCCTGAACATGTACCCCCACTCACCTATATATATATATATATATATATATATATATATATATATATATATATATATATATATATATATATATATATATATACATACATCTATACATCTCAGGTCGAAGGAGACTCGAACCTACAAACCTTGGAACAAGGGACACAGTGCTCTACTCACCGTACCACACTGGTCCAATACCTTGGCGCCCAGCCAACGCACTGCGTACCTTGCTCCAAGGTTCCTAGGTTAAAGTCTCCTTCGACCAGAGATTAATTAGTGTTTGTGAGTATTTAATTCTAAACACTGTAAAAATCTCTCGTCGGTCGATGCATGCAGTGGATGAGATGAAATAGCTAATATCACCTGCCTGAAGGCTGGCTGCCTTGGACCAAAACGTCTAGCGTTGGCTGGGCGCCAAGAAATTGGTCCACTGTGGTACGCTGAGTAGAGCACTGCGTACCTTGCTCCAAGGTTCCTAGGTTCGAGTCTCCTTCGACCTGAGATTAGTGTTTGTGAATATTTCGCCTGTTCTGCGAATTCTAAACATATGTATATATGTGTGTGTGTGTGTGCCTTTCCATTTATTTACAAAGTTAAGTATAGGAAGAAGTAACTTAAAAATTTATTAGATGTAAATAAGGCAAATTTTAGTAAAAAAAGTATTTACAATGAGAGGTTTTACATTTAATAATAAAGGAGGGATGAAGGGGGGGAAGTGGTAAGTACATTCATCCAAACTCAATTACACTTAATCTTTCAACCAAGGAGCGGGGTACAGGAGCCATGCGGTTACACTTTACACTTCACAACCTGGAGTGAGATTCGGTATTGGCTGTAAGTACAAACAGGCTGTAACGCCAACAGTGATACCAAAAGTAACAAAATTGCAGTCACTGCTTTTATTTATATGATGAAATGACTAGTAGTCACTATTCTTGGTGACAAGAAAAGCATAAGCCCCCCCACCCACCCCCAATCACCACACTTCACTATGCTCATAAGATTTAAAAAGTTGGTATTGATTCTTATATACCTCAAAGTCACAGCAGTCTCTGGTGATTTTATCTTTTGTGATACCAACATGTAGATAAGTAGGCACCATTATTCATGGGGTTCTACTGTTAACATTATCCATGGGGTTCTACTGTTAACAATACTCATGGGGGTTTTACTGTTAACATTAACATGTAAAAGTTTCACAAATGGCATTAACAATTTAAAAAAGTCACACTAGATTGCATTTTACAAAATGCATTAAACTTCTCTAGCACTCATTCTCAGTTTTCCAAGGGAATGCTTAATTACTCAGTATAAAATGGCTAAAAGGCTAAGATATTAATTAATCTTGGTATCATTGAATCATCAAATACATTTCAAAGTTATTGATAAAGTACTCAACAGTGAGGCTTACGAGGCTAGTATCCCAGTACTCAACAGTGAGGCTTACGAGGCTAGTATCCCAGTACTCAACAGTGAGGCTTACGAGGCTAGTATCCCAGTACTCAACAGTGAGACTTACGAGGCTAGTATCCCAGTACTCAACAGTGAGACTTACGAGGCTAGTATCCCAGTACTCAACAGTGAGACTTACGAGGCTAGTATCCCAGTACTCAACAGTGAGGCTTACGAGGCTAGTATCCCAGTACTCAACAGTGAGGCTTACGAGGCTAGTATCCCAGTACTCAACAGTGAGACTTACGAGGCTAGTATCCCAGTACTCAACAGTGAGGCTTACGAGGCTAGTATCCCAGTACTCAACAGTGAGACTTACGAGGCTAGTATCCCAGTACTCAACAGTGAGACTTACGAGGCTAGTATCCCAGTACTCAACAGTGAGACTTACGAGGCTAGTATCCCAGTACTCAACAGTGAGACTTACGAGGCTAGTATCCCAGTACTCAACAGTGAGGCTTACGAGGCTAGTATCCCAGTACTCAACAGTGAGACCTGTGAGGCTAGTATCCCAGTACTCAAGTGAGACCTGTGAGGCTAGTATCCCAGTACTCAACAGTGAGACCTGTGAGGCTAGTATCCCAGTACTCAACAGTGAGGCTTACGAGGCTAGTATCCCAGTACTCAGCAGTGAGACTTACGAGGCTAGTATCCCAGTACTCAACAGTGAGACTTACGAGGCTAGTATCCCAGTACTCAACAGTGAGACCTGTGAGGCTAGTAACCCAGTACTAAACACATGCGATCCATCGATGGTCATCTAGCCACGCTGATGTAAATGGATTTTTATATATTTTACTTTCTTTCTGTGTATTATATGTATAATACCAGCAAAATTAAGAATTAGGAGACAGTGAGAGTCGGTTTCAGGGGCTGATTCCATCATCTGTCACAAATGAATATTTTTTTTGTATCAAAATACTGAAACTCTGTCAGAGTGAAGACGAAGATGAGTGCACAAAAGTATGTATATATTGAGATAAGATACTTACTGATTTCCTGGAATTAAAACTATCATCCAATGTGGAGTACCATTGGGAAATGCAGCAAGGTGATTAATATTTTTGAAACTAAGCACTTGACTTTCAATTCCATTGGAATTTATCACTTCTATTTTATGAGAATTAATTTGTATAAAAAATAATTTGGTCATATTTAACATGTTTAAATCTTCAACAGTGGGGGAGAAAAAAAAAAACATATCTTAGTCAATGTTATTTTCACCGTCATGTCTTTCTGTTCTTAGATCCCCAAATTTGGTTCACAGCCCCAGTACATGTAGCCCTGACGTGTCCTCTCCACTACTGCCCTCGTAGATTTCTTTTCTTGTCTACCTCCGTCTGTTGAAATTCTTTCTGGGTGTTCCCGGGGTTGCTGAGCCGGGTATTCTGGTTTTGACTCCCACTGCAGCAGTAGTTACACTGGTAGACTTGATTCCTCCGCCACCCACAGCTCCCACTGATGCTACTGAAGAGCTCTTCTCACTTGAAAAAGCTTTCTTGGAACCTGGGAGAGTGAAATTAATTTTTAAGTCAAAATTGCCGTCACTAGTGCTAAAAATAAAAACTCAGAGCTACAAGATGTCATCAGTGAGTAGTACAGAAACGTACAGTAAGCCATATATTGTTTACATCTATTCAAAAGAAATTTGAAAGCATTGAGAACTGATTGACAAAATTTAAAGAGAAAATATATTAGCAGTCTCAGTTTTCTCCTTTATGTCGTTCCTCTGGCCACAAAAAAACTTGCTATAAATTTTTAAGCAATATGATTTATAAGTTAGCAAGCTGCCACAGTACTTGTATTAATTTTCTAGAGAGGAGATGGCTCAGCTACTCTGATCATTTGAGACGTAATTGGTTTTACCAAAGTTACATTTGTTTCTAACTTGACCTGTTCATTGACTTTCTCGTTACCTCTTCACCTGACCTGTCTACCGACTTTCTTGTTAAGTCTTCACCTGACCCGTCTAGTGACTTTCTCGTTAGTCTTCACCTGACCTGTCTACTGACTTTCTGGTTACGTCTTCACCTGACCTGTCTACTGACTTTCTTGTTACGTCTTCACGTGACCTGTCTACTGACTTTCTTGTTACGTCTTCACCTGACCCGTCTAGTGACTTTCTCGTTTGTCTTCACCTGACCTGTCTACTGACTTTCTTGTTACGTCTTCACCTGACCTGTCTACTGACTTTCTTGTTACGTCTTCACCTGACCTGTCTACTGACTTTCTTGTTACGTCTTCACGTGACCCATCTAGTGACTTTCTCGTTAGTCTTCACCTGACCTGTCTACTGACTTTCTGGTTGCTTCTTCGCCTAACCTTTCTGTTGGCTTTCTCCGCATTTTCGTTTTTCTGTTTTTTTTTCTGTAGATGCCTGTTACTCCCAGTACATTGCTGAGTGTTTTAATCTAACCTTTAGCATCCAGCTGCCTTGACTTAAAGTTTTTATGGTGTTCTTCCTCAAGAGCGTATGGAAATATCGACTAATGTTTATTTTTAATTTGTATAGTTCCTGTGCATTGTGTTAAATAATGTGGCGAGGATAATCATGCAAGAATCTAACTACCATCCCCACTGGTATGAGGCCGAAGTGAGGAGTCTTGACCACACGTTGGGTTGTGAGCCGAGTTCTCTACCACTAAGCTACGTGGTTTGTACTACCATTCCGGATCTTCGTATTGTCAATGAGTTATTGCATTCGGTGATTGCAAGAAAATATGTCTCAGTTTCCTTACGTTTCCCTAATTCACAACACAATATAAGAGAACCTTGTTGCCAAGCCCTGGGGTTGTGTGTACAGGAGTTGGGTCCCGGCATCAGATGCTCCCTCCAGCCCTCGTCCCACGGAGCGATGTTCTCGTGGCACAGCGGACAGTGATTGGCAACAGGCTCAGGTTTAGAAGCTGTAATGGGAAACATTAACGCTAGACTCAACATATAAGGTACAGGGATTAAAGTCATTGGTGAAGCAAAAGGAAATAATGAGTGTTGCCGAGACTGGCTATAGTGTATAACGAATAAATGTCGTCGTGAGTAACATTATTGTGAATACCTCTTTTCATGGATTACTGAATGTTTTCTCTCCTCATTGTATGAGCAGAACCTAACATTAGTGAGATCTCTTTAAGGAATTGTACTGTTAAGTGTTTCTGTCCCATAAATAAAACGAAACGCATTGTTTATCACTGCAAATCAAGAGGATGTTAGATGTTTCCTCACTATTATTCTGAGACATAATGTAAGCGTGTTGAAAGTGGATATTAAGCGGTAGAGCATAAGACTGAGCGAGATGATAGAAAAGACTCACGTATACAAGACTTGGCTAGGGCATGACTATGGAAGTTCTTCTTGGGTATGGCTTCACTACACCGCTCACACCTCCGGTACTCTGCTGAAGACACACATTCACCTGCAAGGAAACACCACAAGTACGTGCTGTCATATCTTAATTTTAAAAATTATATGTACTCCTGGATGGGTTACCATTAAGTGCTTCCCTGAATTTACTAATTTCTTTGAAGATTTTTCGTTTATAGCATGAGAACGCCTCGTCTGACTGACTTCAAAATTTTAAGGCTGGTGCACTGTAATTAGAAAAAGGTTTATTCGACTACTGGTATGTACAGAAGACCTTTGGTCATTTTAATATGCTATTCCTAGCTGAAGCTTTATCTGATCGGCTTCAAACTTCCAACACTGGTGCGTCCTGCCTAGAAGGATTGAATTTTTACTGGAATGTGTTAATGCCTCCTTGTCAGTTTTGGTTATAAAATGGTGATGTATAATTTTTCCGTGAAATAACTCGTAGTCACCTTGAATTAAAGACTGTTTAAATGAGAATTACATAGTATCGCGAGAGCAACCAACTGTGTTGATTTAAGAGCTCACTGCCAAAAGTACTGATGGAATGTAGGTAAATGGTTCAGAGAACCGACAAGTTGATAAATTAGACATGTGCAGATACCCAAGTGTTGCACACGTGTCTGATTTAACAGTACTGATGGAAACACACAGGTACATACGAAGCAGCATGTGTTAAGTCACTGACCGGACAGAACTCTGACCGAGGATGTTTGGACTAGCACCAGCAAGACAGATCAACAACAGTGTTGCAGAGGTGACCACTGACCTGGGCAAGGATTATCGTGTTAAACTTTAATTGCTCTTCCGGCATATTAAAGTTTGGGACTGATGCAACAAGGTTTTATTCTACATTGCGGCCATTAATATAATGTTTTAATTTATATAATTATGTATAAATTTTAAAATATCAAAACCTTTACGAACAAATCGTCGCAATCTCGAAAGAGACAGTAAACGTAGTCAACGGTCGCCACCACCTGCGTGTTGATCAGTGTCGTTCGTTAATCCCCTAAAGGACGTAACAGTACATCGTAGATACTATTAAGTAAAATTTTAGTTACTTTGTCATGAAATTGAATTTTACAAGAACAACAGTTGAGATCAATGGTTGTCCATGATAAAGATAAGAATAATTGTTTGATTTCACAGTGGGTGTGTAACCATACCATGAGTAAAATCCGTTACCATTAAGAAGAATTTAATATTTTTCAACTGAATTAAATTTACAAAATAACAAGAAAACTTGCTAATGGTCGGTAAATACACTAGAAGGTGCTGTTAAGACTACCTCGGACAACCTGACGCAGTGGTTAACACCTGGTCCAACACAGAGGACATGACCTCAGTAGATCTTCAACTGCCTTCTGAATTGAATAGTTGAACGACCCACTGCAGATAGGTTTAGTAAGAAGGTGCATTATATTGAATTATTATTTAGATTTACTACTGATACAAATGACATAATCTAATACCCAGCACCGTCTATATACTGTGTCAACTACCTACACATACGTATCTATAGACTACTACTACTATATACTACTATACTACTACTATACATATACTACTATACTACAGTACCCTACTACTACTACACTACTATACTACCACTCACTACATACTACTACTACCTACTACTACATCTACTACTACTACTACTACTACTACTACTACTACCATACTAACACTACTATACTACTACTACTACTACTACTACTACTACTACTACACCTACTACTACTACTACTACTACTTACTACACTACTAACTACTCTACTACTACTACTACTACTACATACTATACACTACTACTACTACTACTATACACATACTACTACTACACTATACTACTACTACTACTACATACTACTACCACTACTACACTACTACTACTACTACTACTACTACTACTACTACTACTACTACTACTACTACTACTACTATAATAACTACTACCACATACTACTACACTACTACTACTACTACACTACTACTACCACTACTACTACTACTATATACTACTACTATACATACTACTACACACTAATACTACTACTACTACTAAACTACTACTACTACAACTACTACTATACTAACATACTACTAATACTACTACTAACTACTACTACACTACTACTCACTACTACTACTACTACTACCACTACTACCTACTATACTACTACTACTATACTACTACTATACTACTACTATACTACTACTACTATACTACTACTACTACTATACTACTACTACTACTACTACTACTACTACTACTACTACTACTACTACTACTACTATTACTACTACTACCACTACTACTACTACTACTACTACTACTACTACTACTACTACTACAACTACTACTACTACTACTACTACAACTACTACTACTACTACTACTAGATATTTTTTAACACGTCAGCTGTCTCCCACTGAGGCAGGGTGACCCAAAAAAGAAAGAAAAACCCAAAAAGAAAGAAAAAATCTTCATCATTCAACATTTTCACCATCACTTATACATAATCACTGTCTTTGCAGAGGCGCTCAGATACGACAGTTTAGATATCCCTCCAAACTGCCAATATCATAAACCCCTCCTTTAAAGTGCAGGCATTATACTTCCCATTTCCAGGACTCAAGTCCGGCTAACTGGTTTCCCTGAATCCCCTCACAAAATATTACCCTGCTCACACTCCAACAGCTCGTCAGGTCCCAAAAACCATTCGTCTCCGTTCACTCTTATCTAACACACTCACGCTCACTTGCTGGAAGTCCAAGTTCCTCGTCCACAAAACCTCCTTTACCTCCCTCTCTCCAACGTTTTCTACCTTTACACACTCTTCCAAACTCATCCACTAACCTTTGCAACTTTTCTTTACAATCACCCATAAGCACAGTATCATCAGCAAAAAGTAACTGTGTCAACTCCCATTTTGTATTTGATTCCCCATAATTCAATCCCACCCGTCTCAACACCACCCTAGCATTTACTTCTTTTACAACCCCATCTATAAATATGTTAAACAAACATTATTATTATTATTATTATTATTATTATTATTATTATTATTATTATTATTATTATTATTATTATTATTATTATTATTATTATTATTATTATTATTATTATTCCTACTACTACTACTACTGCTACCAATATATTTATTATTGTTGAACTTTTATTATTATTATTTTAATTATTATTAATATTTTTTTTACAATCGCTGAAAAAGCTGTCTCTGGGGAGTGGGTGAAAATCAAGTTTGATGCAAGGAAGGGAAGGTTAGCTCCATTTCACTTGACCAAGCGCCCCTCACTGATATAGAAGGACACTGGGGAGCAGCCGGAGTCAATAATGCGATGAATGATTGCTAACTTAGTGTATAACGCAGGTGATAATTAAGTCCTTCACAGTTACTCTTGTCAAAGTGACGGACATATATGTCTGCATGATTTACGGATCTGAACAATTGCAGCCGATTCTTTAGAAAGTCTACCTGGAAAAGACTTACAATAAAGCAAATGATTTATTCAAAAAATAAACACAATAAATATCTACGAGTCTACAACTTATTTCCAGGTAACGTAGTTTTTATTCTCTGCAATATCGCAATAAACACGAGATATTAAACCAATAAGGAAAGTGCTACACAAGCTAAAGAATTTATAAGATGCACTAGGCCTTTCACACTACATCAGTACCTCGTCAGGAGCTTTATGCAAGGGAATTTAAATTTATTGTAGTTTAGGCTTAATATAAATTTACTGTAATTTAGGCTTGAAACCACAATAGTAATTTTAAAAGATACTTTGTTATGAACTGATTACTGACACCGTGGTGCTAAATATGTCCAGGAGCTGGATGCTGGGACTTACAGTGATTTTTTATTGTTTTTGTGAGCCTAAGTCAGGTTCTGGAGGAGGTAAGCTTCAAGAACCTGGGAGGCTATTCCTGGAAGCCTGAGAGGTAGGTTCCAGGATCCTGGAATTTAGGTTCTCGGATAACTCACTGCCCCAAAAATTTTCCACTTCAGACGTAAGTCGTCAAATATGTTTCAAGAAATAATCGAAAGGAATAGATTGAAAGATACGATGTAAACAAAAGAGAAATTATTTCTCAAAAAGTACAAATGGAAGTAAATGTTTAAATTACTGGACTAAACATTCATGTTAAGGTAAACGAACGTTAGAGTAAATATCAACATTAAGACGAATGTTGAGGCGTAGTTAATTTCTATGGAAACGAACACTATAAGTTTCGAGTGTATTGACGTATTTGTGTGTGTGTGTGTGTGTGTGTGTGTGTGTGTGTGTGTTTGTGTGTGTGTGTGTGTATACACTGTACTGACCTGTCCATTGTGTGTATGTGAGAGTACTATGCAGTGACCTGCGTACTGTGTTTGGGAGTAAAGTATGTTGGCCTGTGTACTGTACGAGAGTACAGTGTTGACCTGTGTACCCTGTGTAGGAGTACAGTGGGTTGACCAGTGTACTCACTGTGGGAGTACAATAATACAGTGAGGTACATAAATTTTCGTCACATGAAGATTTATTGGAACTAGCAGTGGTGCCTAAGTCAGCTGGGTAGCTAGGTGACCACCTGAACACAGGTCTTCTAAGGTCACCACCTACCTTGTTACGTGAGTACCTGATCACAGGTGTTCTGAGGTCACCAGCTACCTTGTTACGTGAATACCTGAACACAGGTGTTCTGAGGTCACCACCTACCTTGTTACGTGAATACCTGAACACAGGTGTTCTGAGGTCACAACCTACCTTTCTAGTTGAATACCTGAACACAGGTGTTCTGAGGCCACCACCTACCTTGCTAATTGAGTACCTGAACACAGGTGTTCCGAGGCCATCACCTACCTTGCTACGTGAGTACCTGAATACAGGTGCTCTGAGGCCATCACCTACCTTGCTAGGTAAATACCTGAACGCAGGTATTCCGAGGCCATCACCTACCTTGCTAGGTGAGTACCTGAACACAGGTGTTCTGAGGCCATTACCTACCTTGCTAGGTGAGTACCTGAACACAGGTGTTCTTAGGCCACCACCTACCTTGCTAGGTGAGTACCTGAACACAGGTGATCTGAGGCCACCACCTACCTTGCTAGGTGAGTACCTGAACACAGGTGTTCTCAGGCCATCACCTACCTTTTAAGGTGTATAGTAGTTTATTCCATCAGGAGTGGAATTACCCTTCTGAGTGGGATAACCCCTCCCCTCAGAGTGGGGTAACCTATTCAACATTCCCTCCCATTGTGGCCTCACGGACGTGCCTGTAACGTTAATCGACACCACAGACCCTGCTCTCACCCCATTCACTTAACCCCTTCTCTCACCCCACTTCCATATCCTTTACTTTCTACTCTCTCTTTCCCTTAATAATACCCTCAAGATCCCTACCTCAATTACAGCTACTACTACCACCATCGCCACGACCTTTAGCCTCATAACCACAACTACAACCACCTCTACAACCATGACACCTACCCGCCTGCACCACCACCACCACCACCACCACCACCACCACCACCACTACCCCCCACCACCACCACCACCACCACCACAAACACCCCCACCCCCACCACCCCACCCCCACCCCCACCACCACCACCACCCACGCCATTTGAGAATCTCATACACTAGCAGGTGATCACTACCAGTGAATGATGTATTGATCTACATGTGTTGTTGACCACTCACACTCCAATTATAATCAAGGTGCTGACACCTTTAAAATATGCCTTCTGAATAGCTATATACAGTATATATATACTATATATACATACATAATTATAGTTATAAGGATGATAACTGATTGTAATGCATTACGAATTATGATAGAATCAGTGGTGGTTCAGATTAACGAGAGATCAACGAAAAGAACAAGAAGATCGATCGATGTGTATTCATATTATCCACGAATTCTGAGGAAATATATTTACAAAAGAAGAAAGTATTTAACAGAAAAGGCAGACTTGATGCACACAAGTCTTTTACTGTTAATTCTCAGAATTCGGAGAGAACGTGAACATCAATAAGTTGACAAAATAGACACACAACTGGAACACATTTTAGATTATATTAATCATCTATAGAGATTATTTACGTTTAACCCCAACTCTGCTAGTGTGAGATTTACATATGCAGAGTGGTCATCATTTCTGGGAATTGGGGGGGAAGGGGGGTTCAAACTCTGTTGCAATGGCTAAAATATGTCGTTGTTGATGAGGATCTGAATTGGGATTTACAACTGAATCTTGGGGATTCCTCAGTACTTGTCGTGTATGTAAGAAATAACAACAGTCAGGTTGTTCATTTGTCATCCTGAATTAAGCGAAAAAATATATTTCATTGTGTTTGTTTATTACTAAATTATTGCAAACTTATATAAAATATATCTGGTTGGATTAGGCTAAATTAAATTGCGCTTGTTATAATAACGTTAGGTAAGTTTCCTAAGGTTCTTTTGGTGCAAAATCATTAATTTTTATATTAACATAAATGAAAAAATATATATTTAAATATACTAGAGATTTTTTTTAGAAAGGACCTAATTTTAAATGAGTTCTTTCTAATTGATCAGTTTTAACTTTATATATACGGCACGAAATATATAATATATATATATAATATATATATATATATATATATTATATATATATATATATATATATATATTATATAACTTCAAGAGTGTATCAGTCTGTAGTGGAAGGAAGGCGGGGTAGGGGTCGGCCTAGGAAGGGTTGGAGGGAGGGGGTAAAGGAGGTTTTGTGTGCGAGGGGCTTGGACTTCCAGCAGGCATGCGTGAGCGTGTTTGATAGGAGTGAATGGAGACAAATGGTTTTTAATACTTGACGTGCTGTTGGAGTGTGAGCAAAGTAACATTTATGAAGGGATTCAGGGAAACCGGCAGGCCGGACTTGAGTCCTGGAGATGGGAAGTACAGTGCCTGCACTCTGAAGGAGGGGTGTTAATGTTGCAGTTTAAAAACTGTAGTGTAAAGCACCCTTCTGGCAAGACAGTGATGGAGTGAATGATGGTGAAAGTTTTTCTTTTTCGGGCCACCCTGCCTTGGTGGGAATCGGCCAGTGTGATAATAATAATAATATATATATATATATATATATATATATATATATATATATATATATATATATATATAATATATATATATATATATATATATATATATATATATATATATGAGTGTGTGAGTGCACTCAAATATATGTGGTTGCAGGGGTCGAGTCACAGCTCATGTCCCCGAGAGTGTGTATGTGTGTGAGGAAACTCACTTATCCTCAGGGTCGATGGGCGAGACATCACCATCAACACTGGTCAGGTCGAGTCTTGATCCATTGAGACGCGACAGCGCACGACCGCGAACTTGTGCCTCGTCGGGGGTGATGCTGATCTGCGGCACACCCCCGCCGCAACCCATGCCGCCGCCCACGCCGGGGGAGAGGCCGCTGCCCACGCTAAGGGTGTCGTGCCCCACGCTGCTGTCTCCGGTGCTGACCCCGCTGCTGCTGCAGCTGCTGCAGCTGTCACCAGGGAAGAAACACCAGCTGATAGACTTATTATATTATTATAATTATTATTACTACTGTTACCATTACTACTCTACTACTACGCTGCTATTACTACTGCTACCACTACTACTACTATTACTATTATTATTATTATTATTATTATTATTATTATTATTATTATTATTATTATTATTATTATTATTACTACTACTACTTGGGTCATACAGCTCCAGGGAAATAAGAAGCATCTGGTTTGATCCAAGGTGGGAGGAGGTGACTCCAGTTCCCTAGATGAAGAGCTTTCCAGTTTGATGGTTGGGTGCGAGGCTGACTACTTCACTGTCCACGGTAAGAATTAATAGTCTGGGAAGTTTACCGTGATGTGTGTTTAGAGGCACCTGAGTACCATTAATGGGGGAGGAGAGGTAAGTACCATTAAGGAGGAAGGGAGGTAAGTATCATTAATGGGGAGGAGGCAACTGAGTACCATTAATGAGGGAGGGGGCGGCTGAATACCATTAATAGGAAGGGGAAATAAGTATCATTAATGAGGGCAGGGAGGCAGCTGAGTACCATTAATGGGAGAAGAGGCAGTATCATTAATGGGGGAGGGGAACTGAGTACCATTAATGAGAAGGGAGCAGCCGAGTACTATTAATAGGGGGAGGGGGCAGCTGAGTACCATTAATGGGGGGAAGGTGAGGTAGATATCATAAATAAGGGAAGGGAAAGGTAAGTGCCATTAATGGGGGGGAAGGTAAGTATCACTAAGGGAGGAGATACATACTGTTAGTAACGTAGGAGGTTATATTAAAATGGTCTAAAATACCGACAGGTTGTTAGGTAAGACACATATGCAACAGTTAGGCATCTTTATTTCGAAACGTGTCGCCTACAAAGTAGGCTTCTGGATTTGAGAGGGACGTAACCTCCGAACGACAACATTCTTACCTCTACTAGTGGTCTACATCTCACCTCCTGGCGGTATATAAGGCTCCATCCTGTCACTTCAACTCCATATTGTTTCAGACTGTGGAACAATGCTCTTCTCCAGACTGAGGGACTGACCACCTCAAAACTTCAAGGGTGATGGACTGATTACATCATCTTCAAGTCTCTTCTATCAACTTTTCTATACCCGACTGAAAAGAAGCCTACTGTCTAGGCGAAACGTTTCGGAATAAAGATACCTAACAGTTGCATATGTGTCTTACCTAATAACATAGAAGGTTGTAGGTAAGTCAGCTTTCCAGTCTTGGTCACCAAATATAAAATCTTCTGAATATACGTTGATACAAAGATTGTAAGAATGTTAGCCATGAGTCAGGTCCGTTAGACAGTCAGTATATAAACATCCGTTAGACAGTCAGTATATAAACATCCGTTAGACAGTATATAAACATCCGTTAGACAGTCAGTATATAAACATCCGTTAGACAGTCAGTACATAAACATCCGTTAGACAGTCAGTATATACACATCCGTTAGACAGTCAGTATATAAACATCCGTTAGACAGTCAGTATATAAACATCCGTTAGACAGTCAGTACATAAACATCCGTTAGACAGTCAGTATATACACATCCGTTAGACAGTCAGTATATAAACATCCGTTAGACAGTCAGTATATAAACATCCGTTAGACAGTCAGTATATAAACATCCGTTAGACAGTCAGTATATAAACATCCGTTAGACAGTCAGTATATAAACATCCGTTAGACAGTCAGTATATAAACATCCGTTAGACAGTCAGTATATAAACATCCGTTAGACAGTCAGTATATAAACATCCGTTAGACAGTATATAAACATCCGTTAGACAGTCAGTATATAAACATCAAGTCTAGGCTTCAGATCTGTCTCCTTTCTTTTTGGATAATGGTTTTAATCATATTTACAAACGATTCATAATTCAGTTTTCCTGCAAGCGATGCTTTCACTGCTGTTACTTATATCTGTTAATTAAATTTAAATCTAGAGAGACAATGCTAGAAAGTCTGGCCCAGTGTTTTAAAACTATCGTTTTAATTTTTTTTACGTCGTAAAACGTCTGTGTTTGAATCATATGAAGCAGCTGAAACACAAAACTTGTTCTGTACACGATTGAAGTGAACTGTTTGTACCTGATCGATTGGTTGGTTGTAAATGAACTAATATGACCCGATACTTCACGGTTTTAACCCTGATCCTTCATTTATCAGCGGCAAGTATAATTCTTATCCTTCTTCAACAGATGTTGCACTGCGACGTACCTCAGACGTCAGATGACGTCTGATGACGTCTGATGGTGATTTGGGTGTAACAAAGTAGAGCGTAAATAATATTTTTTTTTTGTCGTTCTTAGTATAAGTTGTTAGACGCATTCCATGAGTCTGGAATTCCTTTATATTAGATGGTTACAGCTCTGGTACCGGTACTCTGTGCTGTTTTCCTTCCCTTGGTGCCCTAAGCACCTGTTTATATTGCTTTATGGTTAATCCAGGGCTGGACTCGACCCCCGGAAACAAATCGGTAAGTTTGTAGATACACACACACATACACACACGCCCACAGGAGCCAGGAACTGTGACTCCACTCCTACAACTAAAATAGGTGAGTACGCACACACATGCAGAGAGGTGTGTGGGTGACCTACCTGGAGTAGTGACTGGGAGTGTGGGTGACGTGGGTGGGAGTGTGGGTGACGTGGGTGGGTGTGTGAGTGACGGCTGCAGCAGCTGAACTGGCCCTGGGTGGCGACACTCTGCTTCTGGAGGTAGTAGACTCTCGCTGAGGGAGGTGGGGCGGGGGAGGCAAAGTAGACATTAGCTCGTGAGGGGGTAGAGAATTTTTTGTGGTGGAGGGGAGGGTGGGGAGGGGAGGGTAGGGATGGGAGGGCAGGGCGGTTGGGGAGGACGGGTAGGGAAAGGCGGGGAGGGGAGAACGGGGAGTGAATGGGAGAAAGACGTTAATGAAGATGGGAGAGCCTGGGGGGGGGGAAACCTTAACGAGCGGCAGAGAACAAAAGAAACAGACTTGAGAGAGAGAGAGAGAGAGAAGGAGAGAGAGAGGAGAGAGGAGAGAGAGAGAGAGAGAGAGAGAGAGAGAGAGAGAGAGAGAGAAGAGAGAGGAGAGAGAGAGGAGAGAAGAGAGAGAGTGAGAGAGAGAAGAGGAATGGGGAAAGAGAGGAGTGGGGAAGAGGAAGAGAGAGAATACACGTCATTCAGCACTGATTGATGAGTGTGAGTGTAGAAGAACAGAGTGGATGATGGAGGATGTGAGGGATAGAGAAAGATGGAGAAATGCAGCAGACAAGGTAAATGAGAGAAGACAGGAAGGGAGAAGCTAGGAGAGGAGTGTGAGGAGAGGCGAGTCAGGAGAGAGGAGAGAGAGAGAAAGAAAGAGAAGAGGGAAGAGAGAAGAGAATGAGGAGATTAAAGATAAAGGGAATATTTATTCCCTGGGTTAATTATCAAGAATAATACAGAATGGTGGTAATGTTTAGTACAAGTAGACAGAATGGTGGTAATGTTTAGTACAAGTAGACAGAATGGTGATAATGTTTAGTACAAGTAGACAGAATGGTGGTAATGTTTAGTACAAGTAGGCAGAATGGTGGTAATGTTTAGTACAAGTAGACAGAATGGTGGTAATGTTTAGTACAAGTAGGCAGAATGGTGGTAATGTTTAGTACAAGTAGACAGAATGGTGGTAATGTTTAGTACAAGTAGACAGAATGGTGGTAATGTTTAGTACAAGTAGGCAGAATGGTGGTAATGTTTAGTACAAGTAGACAGAATGGTGGTAATGTTTAGTACAAGTAGACAGAATGGTGGTAATGTTTAGTACAAGTAGACAGAATGGTGGTAATGTTTAGTACAAGTAGACAGAATGGTGGTAATGTTTAGTACAAGTAGACAGAATGGTGGTAATGTTTAGTACAAGTAGACAGAATGGTGGTAATGTTTAGTACAAGTAGACAGAATGGTGGTAATGTTTAGTACAAGTAGACAGAATGGTGGTAATGTTTAGTACAAGTAGACAGAATGGTGGTAATGTTTAGTACAAGTAGACAGAATGGTGGTAATGTTTAGTACAAGTAGACAGAATGGTGGTAATGTTTAGTACAAGTAGACAGAATGGTGGTAATGTTTAGTACAAGTAGACAGAATGGTGGTAATGTTTAGTACAAGTAGACAGAATGGTGGTAATGTTTAGTACAAGTAGACAGAATGGTGGTAATGTTTAGTACAAGTAGACAGAATGGTGGTAATGTTTAGTACAAGTAGACAGAATGGTGGTAATGTTTAGTACAAGTAGACAGAATGGTGGTAATGTTTAGTGCAAGTAGACAGAATGGTGGTAATGTTTAGTACAAGTAGACAGAATGGTGGTAATGTTTAGTACAAGTAGACAGAATGGTGGTAATGTTTAGTACAAGTAGACAGAATGGTGGTAATGTTTAGTACAAGTAGACAGAATGGTGGTAATGTTTAGTACAAGTAGACAGAATGGTGGTAATGTTTAGTACAAGTAGACAGAATGGTGGTAATGTTTAGTACAAGTAGACAGAATGGTGGTAATGTTTAGTACAAGTAGACAGCAGAATTCAAAAGAGAAAAACACAGGGAAGAAAGCTGATGAAACAACAAATGCAGCAAACAAAGAAAGTCGAAACGATGGAACTAAGAAAACACAGAAGAGTTAAACGAGATGAGAGACACAGAAGCAAAATGAAGAGAAATAGAGAGAGATAATGAACAGAAACGGCAATAACAAACGGGAAGTGGATGAGGTACAATAACTAAGGGAAGTAAATGCAAATTGAAAGGGAGAGAGATAATACAGGAAGATTTGAGACACTTACGAAGAGACGGCGACGTAAGAGATGAGAGAAGTAAATGCCCTGAAACATGTGAGGAGGAGAGATAAGTAGAATAAGAGAGATAGTGGGAGGGAGACAAAGTTAAAGGACTACCTCTGGCCTTGGCAGGAAGAGGAGAAGGAAGAGGAAGAGAAGGAAGAAAAGGAAGAGGAGTAAGAGGAGTGGAGGAGAAGGAAGAGAGGAGGAAGAGGACGAGGAGAAAGAGGAGGAGGAGGAGGGGGAGGACGAGGAGGAGGAGGAGGCCAAGTAAAGGTATGTCCCTGGTCTTGTCAGTTGTATTTGGGTCAGTGACACAAGGACTACAGTATACTAAGAGTATATTAAGAGAATACTAAGAGTATATTAAGAGTATACTAAGAGTATATTAAGAGTATACTAAGAGTATATTAAGAGTATACTAAGAGTATATTAAGAGTATACTAAGAGTATATTAGGAGTATACTAAGAGTATATTAAGAGTATACTAAGAGTATATTAAGAGTATACTAAGAGTATATTAAGAGTATACTAAGAGTATATTAAGAGTATACTAAGAGTATATTAAGAGTATACTAAGAGTATATTAAGAGTATACTAAGAGTATATTAAGAGTATACTAAGAGTATATTAAGAGTATACTAAGAGTATATTAAGAGTATACTAAGAGTATATTAAGAGTATACTAAGAGTATATTAAGAGTATACTAAGAGTATATTAAGAGTATACTAAGAGTATATTAAGAGTATACTAAGAGTATATTAAGAGTATACTAAGAGTATATTAAGAGTATACTAAGAGTATATTAAGAGTATACTAACACAAATACACAAATATACTAGATAATCCTTAAAACACTTATGAAAAATTTGATAAAAATGTCATAAAGCATTTATAATATATTAGTTAAAAACATTTCTTGGTACTTTCTAAATATTAAATCAATACCAAATTTTCACTCTAATGCCGGACATTTATTCTAAGATGGAATATAAAATAAACATTATTTAATATGTGGCAAAATTTGACAAAACACAATAAACATTATTTAATATGTGGCAAAATTTGACAAAACACAATAAACATTATTTAATATGTGGCAAAATTTGACAAAACACAATAAACATTATTTAATATGTGGCAAAATTTGACAAAACACAATAAACATTATTTAATATGTGGCAAAATTTGACAAAACACAATAAACATTATTTAATATGTGGCAAAATTTGACAAAACACAATAAACATTATTTAATATGTGGCAAAATTTGACAAAACACAATAAACATTATTTAATATGTGGCAAAATTTGACAAAACACAATAAACATTATTTAATATGTGGCAAAATTTGACAAAACACAATAAACATTATTTAATATGTGGCAAAATTTGACAAAACACAATAAACATTATTTAATATGTGGCAAAATTTGACAAAACACAATAAACATTATTTAATATGTGGCAAAATTTGACAAAACACAAGAATGATTGCAACAATGCAACTTTGCCAGACTTATTGAAAGCTGCAAACAGACATGCAAAATTTGCACAATATTTTCTATTGCAAGGTAAGATATCAATCTGCATCTGCACTGCACCTTGCAGTTTTAAAACCAGTTCAACGTACTGTCATGCGCGACAGGAACCGTCGTAATAAGTCACGAAGTTATTGCTGTAAACAAATGAACTTAGGTTAGGGAAGGTTGGTCAGGATACAGGACAAGTGTTTCCTGACGCTGGTTTTAGTTATATGTTAACCCACCGCTGGAACTTTGGGTTATCTGACCGATGCCTTCCACTGGCTTACTGGTCCACCCCTTTAAAAAATATACTCAGGATTATAACCATTACATTAAGAAATGAACGAGACAAACAAAACAATGAGGAAAGCGTCTAGGTACTAAGTAAAACAAAGGCAATACTGACATACGCCAAACTTAGCCAAACATACCAAAGCGAGCATGCTAATAAACAAGCAAACAAGCGAGCAAAACCATAAAAGTTGCAAAACTCTCTTAGCAGTTGCAAGAGGGAGTTGTGTTTCTTTCCTGACGTCACGACGTAAACATACCTTCGTTCCATGGCAATCAATGAAACAAACATGCGCTACAAAACTTTGATTTACGAAATATAATACACGGGTACACCTGATGCTAGTACACAACACTTAGTTGTCTAGTGTAAATGTTGGGGTGGCAGAGTTTCTAACCTGTAAGAGAAAGCTTAAGGGATTTGGCTCATTAATAACTTGATAGTGTCGTCTTTATTAGCACGTAGTAGTGACTCGAGCCACTAGCATCTGTGTTATATATTAACATAACTCAACCCTGTGTTCAGGTTTTCCAGTTAAAACACAGTTTATGTGAGAGCAGAAAAAATATCTTTTATTGGCGATGTAATTGGTTTTTCCTTATAGATGAGTTTTCATATTTGTTTGTTGAGAAAATTTATTGTTTTACTGGAGCACAATACACGTCGTAAGTTGACATACAATCACACATTTTAAAGTTACAATATGCTTACCAGTGAGTCTCCACTCATAACTTCACACAGTACATAACTTCACACAGTAAACATCAAAAGAATGGCTTCAATATATTTTTTTATATGGCGTTTATAATGGAACGATCTATGTGAACTCCGTGAGCGCCCATCCTAGACAGGTTGACCCTTAACAAACACAGTCATGCACTCGCAGTCACCTGTAACCTGGCTATGCTAAGGTGAAGCTCCAACCATACACCACGACACTCACACCGACATCTAATTACGTTTACTTACATCTTCTAAAATCAGAGGCAGGAAGACTTTCCCTGGTAAAATATAATCATTCGAGACCTCATATGACGTTCTAAATGCAGTTTTATTCACACTAAGAAAAGAGGCTGGCTTCAGATAGTTACAAAACACAAAGACTCTAA